TATGTGAATAAAATAACAAAAACCTTGACAATGACAAATCGTTATGAAATTTAACTCTAGTCTAGTGCAATAGATACTCTTCTAGTAATACTAGCTGCTAGAAGTCAATGTATGTGTATGATCGTGTATGTATGAAGAAAGGAATAAAAGGAAAGAGGGAGATATATTATCTTAGAACAACACGACAGCATGTGTGTGTGTATGTGCATGAACAACGAACATGTTCTAATCATTTTCTATTAGTATATGTGTGTAGTGGCCGACGATAGAAAGCAACAGCGCGCGTCGCATCGGAAAAAGAGAATCGACAACGACGATGGGGAGAAAGGGAGAAAATAATCGTCGTTGTCGTGACCTGACGCGGCCGCCTTGTCGGCAGTGGCTGTTGCTGCTAAAGCTGCCGGCGAACGATAAGGTTACACACATACAGGAAAAGAAAAACACACTAGTCGTCGACGAAGCACAAAAGAGAATGCGTTTCTTTTCTCCCCCTCGACTACAAGTGTCCAATTTACACACACCATGAGGGATAGAGATAGATGGATGGATGAATGGACATGGATAGAGAAAGAAAGAGGAAAGATACTTAATTAATCGCGGTCGCAATGAGCGACCGAGCGAAAGAAAAGGACAAAAGGCTAGTAATACTACCACCATCATCTAGTATAGAAAACAACAAAAAAAAAGATCAAAAGTCGTCGTTTGTGCTGCACATATATGCCCAAAGGACAACACGCATCAGTAATAGAGTATTGAAAGCTAGAGCGCACAACTGCTACGCGTGCTTATTCAAAGTAATTGTATGACTGGGACTAAAGATATATATATATATATATATATATATATATGTGAGTTAGGATAGAGAACGATTAGCATTTCAACGACGAAGTATACTGACAAGAAAATAAGAAATATGACACGATGATGAAGTAGACAAATAAATTTGTTGCACACATCGTTGCTTTAATATGTTTTATTCTCTTCGACATTTGGTCTTGATTGTATAAAGACATATGTAAATATATATATATATATGACTGCACATAGACAAACGCACAGTTTGATTATGTCAAGTACTCTTTGATTAGAAATAGGTAGGCTCTGATCAATAACAATAACTACATTTATCCTATCTTCTCATTAAAAGAAACTATGTTTATCTGCTATTTTCCAGCTACGAGAAACAATAACAATAACAGTAACAAGAAATTTCTCTCATCTCAACCTCTCAACAAGCAAAACGATAATCAATAAGGATGTATAGATGTATATAAAGATATATATATATATATATATATGCGTGTGTGCGCTTGTATGTATGTACATCAATCTTCGTGCAAATAGACCTAGACGATGAAGGACACGAAATAACAGCTAGATAGAAAAACGAGAAGATGCGATAGCCATCACAAATTGTCATATGTATCTAACTTGACTTGTGTGTAAATGCATATGTATATATATATATATATATATATATATACAGTGATATTGCGCCTAACTGATCATGTCAAGGTGTGAGACCACTTGAGAACAGAACGTGCGTGTATATGTATACATATATGTTTGAATTGAGAAGAGAAAGAAACAAAAGAAGAAAATGAAAATGATGAGAGTTGTCGATGACGTGCAAACAGTGCCTAGAGGCTAGGAGTTTTTGCCGTCTTCCTATTTCCTACCGTGCCGTTGTGTTACTACTATTCTGTTCATCAAAGACATAAATGAATGAATGAATGAATGAAGCGAAGAAGCAGAAGATGAAGAGAAGAGAAACGGAAACGAGCCAAGATTGATGATGATGGCAATAGTAGTAGGAAGTGAAGGAGAGCGCCATGCGACGCTACGATAATGATTGACAAGAGAAGAAAAAAGAAAACGAGTTAAACGATGTAGTGGTGCGAATCTTCAACTACTAATGAAAGTGAATGAAACGACATATATACGCATGCGAGTACTTTCTCATTTCATTCTTCGCTCTATTTGTGTTACACGCAAATGGAATCAGGGATGCATGCAATGAAGACACAACTGCATGGCGTGTATGTAGAAAGAGAGAAGAAAAAGTTAAAATGTTAAGCAGATTGAGCAGCCTGTTCAACTACTTTTATTTCTCCTTCATTATTGTTTGCTTAGTACACACACAGGCATACAAACATGTACATATATGTGCACTAACAATACGAGCAATTGTCGTCATTTATAGATGTTCGATTCTATTCTTTTTTTCTCTCGCTCTCTTTCTCTTATACTGTAGATCTATAATATATTTGAGTGTGTGCATATGTCCGTTGCTCTATTTTGATTTAATCAAGTCAGTCAGTTCGTGAGCTTGCCGAGCTTCTCAAGTGTCACTTTCATCGCATCGATCGTTCATTCCCTACTTACACACACACACACACTCAGACACTTGTGTTCATACTTTTGTCTGAGAATAAGAGTCAGAATTATTAATAAAACTGAACAGTCATATGATTAACCTGTATGTATTATACTCATGTGCCAGCGGGTGGCTCATATTCATTGGCAAATATTTCAGGTATATTACAGGTGTGATTGAATTTCGCAACGAAAAAAGAAACAGAATAGACGACGAGGTGAAAGATAATGAGATTAAATGCATGTATACATAAGAAATATTCTATAATGTAACTTCATTGTATTATTGACATAAGTCGCAAGTAGTTGTGTTTCTTCTCACTCTACGTTCATCATCATCATCATCATCATCATCGTCGTCGTAGTAGTAGTTGTAGTCGTCGAGTGACACATGCCAAAATACATTCTTGCTCGGAAAGAGAAGTGCTAATCAGTTAACATGATGCAGACGACGAGAGAAAAAGTTCTAGACACAAAAAAAAACGAATAAGAAAAAAAAGAAGAAGGAAGGTGAGACCGATCGCTGATAGAAATGACGAAGAATATAAAGCGTGTAATATAGCAATGCAAATAATTCTCAGCAAGAAATAAAAGGAGGAGAGGAGGAAAAGAAGTCGTTGAAAAACATTTACACATTCATGACATCCAGAGCTGTAATAGTTGGCGAGAGAGAAAGAATCATTTCATGCCTTAGCATGCTTATTTATATATTTATATATCTATATATATATACTTATTATTAAGAGCGAATAATGATGATAAAGATGTAGGGAATAGTAAAAAAATATGATAACATATCAGTTTCATCATCAGTGACATACGGCAATTAACGCTACCTAGAGCGAGCGAACAAGATGACGCGAAGACGAAAGGCTATTATTTTTTTTCTCATCAATTGATCGATAAATTAAACCGCTCAAGAGTGCAAAAGCAAATAGAAGTATATGAAGACAAATAGAAAAAGAATAAAGTATGTTTGTTGTAAAACAAATTGACATATATAATCGAAGAAAAGAAGAAATTTCAACGTTTTTTTCCCTTCTTCTTCGCTCTCTCGCTTGCATTCTAATGACATATATAAATACAAATACAAAACAACGTTCGCTTTGCACAAGATTAAAAGCGAAAAAAAACTGCAAAAATGAATAAATAAATAAAATATCTAAGGGTTATATGATTGGTTAATGAAAACAATCCCATATATATATATATACAATGGATTCTATGACTCATAAATTCATGTAACATTCCTATGCAGATTGTCACGCAAAAGCAAAATGTTTGTTGATTCAACAAGCAATTAACAAAACAATATATTATGTGTATAAAATAAAAAATAGAATAATATAACATGGTATTTATTTCTAATGAAATATTAAATTGAAGAAGAGAAATTTCCAGGGATAGATTTATTAGGTTTTCTCGAGTGTATGAATGATTTCTAGTAGAAAAAAAAAACTAATGAGAACAGATTACGGATTTCATATGAAATGAAAGGAAAAACTATTACGAGAAGCTTGACTGTTAGATATTTTAAATGAATAAAGATATTATTTGAATTGATTGTTTTGAGAGGAAAAAAATTTGATTAATTGTGCATGATTTTTTTTGAGAAAAAAAAGATTAAGATTATTTAGTTATTAATGTGATCGAAATATTCTATTATTGAATCTATTTTTAATAAGGATTCTCTATTGATTGATTTTCGTTGAAATAATTATAAAAAAAATACGAATTCTTTATTTGCTCATTAGTAAAACTTAATCTCAGATAAAAATTGTCATGATTCATGAATCTTTTCTTTTGAGAAGCTTAGAGATTATCCGTTATATAAGTTGATGCAAAAATAGATTTTAAGCTGAACGTTGGCTAATTCTAAAATTGTCAGTTTCTATTTATAAGATATCAAAAGTTTGCCGATACTTTGAACATATGACAACGTTCAATACGAATCTAACGAAAAGAATAATTATTTTGTTCTGCATTTGCCTACGACAATGACAGTTAAATGTAAGTACATGAAAAAAGAAAAAAACTCAATTATAAAGAGTGTTAAAATCAAGATGAATTAAAACAGCAGTTGACATGTTTACTGATCTAATCTTATATTTGAATTGTATTCTGCTCAGATCGGCGGAATTACATTTGAATTTCGAGAATGAAAGCTGATTATAAAATATTTTTTCAGTGAATTCGAAACCATATAATCTTCTTGGCATATAATCATATTTCAAATGAGATACGAGAAATTTTTGAAGAACTTTCGTATTACAGTCAAGGAGTATTGTGAATAGAAGAGGAATGATTCTGTTCTTTTTTGTATTATCTTCCTAGGAATTTTTAATAAGACATGAACTCTGATTCAATTAATATTGTTATGTTAATTTTGTAATTATCGGAATATATGGAACACAGCTTCTAATCAGAATGTCGTATGCTATTTTCATTAAGACAAAGAATATTGATGATTATTACACAATCACTGGAAAACAAATAATCAGCAACATTGACTCATAGCAAGAAAAAAAAACGTCCACATGTTCTTTTTGTATTACGTTGCAAATATATATGTAAGGAAATATTTTTATTTCTCTTAAATTTACTAAAATTATTCAACAAGTCATATGAGTCGTATGCTTTTTCCACAAGATTCCAGATTCTTAAGGGATTGGAGTGGTCAAACGATTTCGAAATTGGCTCTTGATGAACTACAAGTCGGTTGTATTGTACGTTGTGTGATAGCAAATGAGTTACCGGATCATGCAGCATGGGAAGCACTTTATTTTGAAATAGTTAAAATTAAAAATGGTACATTTTGGGGTAAAACATTAGATACATATCGATTAGGAGAAGATGCTATTGGTTTACCGACGAATAGAACATTTACATTTCGTAAAAATCATATTATCGAAATACCTCTAATGTGGCAATCATCGTTTATTAGAAAAAAATTAAGTAAATATCTTATGTAAAAGAAAAACATCTTCAATATTTAACTGACTATCAAATAAATCGATCGTGGCGAACGACAGATTGTATTTCTTCGAATGACTTAATTCGTTTATGTTATACAAGATATTTTGAAATGTTTCGGTCGAAATTTACTCAACGTCTATCGTGTAGAGGTTAATATGGAATTAAATTTATCCGAATGTGTTATAAACGGTCTAGCAATTTTTATGTTACAAAATATTTTACAAGAAAATGTTTTCCAGAAATCTTGTTTTCTTGTAATGATTCACATATGTAGATGTGGAGTATGACATAATTTCTTCATTAGTTGTGCAAATATCACCATGCGATATTCTAGCTGATACTGACGTAGGAAATGTCTTCGTTGATGCAGGAAAAAATTGTTGGGAAATATCTATTTTCATCAAACAGGTTTAGCATGGTTTGGAAATTTGTAATTACGAAATAAAGCATGAAATTTGCGTATCATTGAATGACGTTGTCAAGCATCGATTAAACAATTAGGCATGCGTCATAAACAAGAAAAATGAATTAGTTACCTTTTTTCTTCTGTTGAGAAAAAAAGCGAACAGGTAATATGAAAACAAACTTGTGTCATTGGATTTTTCCTTCTTTCTACGGGTATTTAAGTTGTGTTTTTTCTTTACTATTGTCATTGATATCTTTCTCAATATTCGTCGTTGATAACGAAAATTGCAATAAAAAGCTTAGTTTGTTAACTCTGTCAAACGTAAGAAATAATCAAACTGTTTCAAAAGTGTAAGATGATTACATTTCACTGTATGTAAGTTATAGAGTAAATAAAAAGTTTGTTGTTGTATTAGTATCAAATTATTGATTAACATTCTCTTAATCCTTTAATTTTTCGCGATTATCAGGTATAATCTTCATCATTGAAAAGACGCTGATTCAGTTGTTCGATAATTTATTATGTAAGTCTACGCATTATGATGACGATAGTCAAGTAAACGATTTCAAAAAGAATTGTTTTTCAGCCCTTAATTGAAAGAATTATGCTGATCTAAAACAAGCATCTGTAAATTTTGAGGAATTAAAAATTTGTACGCAAATGGTTTTCAAGCTGATTGGATAGTTGAATTTTTTTTCCTTCATGACGAAGTAAGACATGTAACATAATGACGCAATCATTGGGAAAAACCAACTGAGTTTCCACATAGGAAGAAAACCTTTCGCAACTTTTTTTTGCCCATTGTGAAACTATATATACAGGTGATGTACTTCTTTATTGCATGCAATATAGAATCGTTTGGCACATCGAATCCGTCGTACACTATTTCACTGGCACGTCACATTAAACAATAATCGGATTTAGTGAACGATTCGGAAATCTACTTTTGACATACTTCAAGCGTGTTGTATTGTATGTTGTCTTATGAGAATGGAACCATCAGAGAAAGCTGTATACAAACTAGTAAAATTTTTAAATGTTTAAGATATTAGTTATTGAGGTAAAACATCAGACAGATATCGATTAGACGCAAATACTATTGTTTTATCTACACATGCAACGTTTAGGTTTTGCAAAAAAAAACAAATTATATGATGGAAAATGTCTATCATATAGAAACTGATATATCTTTGCATGTATTGCGCAATAGAAAAAAGATTTTTGTATTTATTTAACAAATAACTTAACGCTCATTAAGTTAAATTTTAGAAATTAAGATCTCCATTGCAGTGGTTAGTATACCGTTGAATTTATTTGAATCTGTTGCAAAGTATATTTTAGTATCTGTATTATATTCTTTATTCAAAAGAAAATCTTTTCCTTAAAGCTAATGTAATAAATTTCTTCATGGCTATACAATCACATAGTGGGAAAATTCTTATTTCAGGCGTAGATTTTATTTTACACTGATCGAGGATTTGTAATTGCAAAAGAAAATATGACACATACTTATCATAGACGGATGATGTCATATGTACATAAATTAGTCATCTTTTTGACATGAGTCATAAGCAAGAAACATTTTTTCTGTTGAAAAAACCCGAACAGGTAACGAAAAAAACGCAAGCTGTTGGACTTTTACTGTTTATCTTCTTTCGTATAATGTGTGAATTAGATAGGAAATAAAAACTTTGTTGTTATATAAGCATTCTAGTCAATTGTACATAATTATAAGATATAATCCTGAAAAGAAGCTGATTCAATAATTTATTGTTTAACCTTATGGTTATTTGGTGATGCTATCAAAAAATGAGATGGCTTATCAATGTAATGATGAATTCTTGGCCCGAAGAACTATGCAGATACAATCAAAGTCTACGCAACGATAAAAACCTTATAATATTTTATATAAACGGGTTTCATGTTTCAAGAATGATCTGGAATATACATATTCGTTCTTTTTTCTTATCTATATACGAAATATGAATTTTTAATCCTTTACCTTCTCATATTGATGCTGGTAGGATCAATAGAACTGAGTTGGTATTGACTAAATTAATCCTTTTGCATATTTGGCTAAGCAACATTGTTTAGAACAAACTTTTGCCCAAGAACGTTGTGCATTTTAGAATAGAATTCAATTTACATTATTATTTTATGCACAACAATTCCAATCTAGGCGTAATAGAAAATATCTCTAATATACTTAAAGAAAAAATACTTCAATCATTAATATGTTTTGATTTATCTGCAAAAACTGGAGCTCTTCTAAGCACGACTTAGCCTGTATAGTTGAACGGCAAGAACAATGATGTGCATAAATAATTCGTATGTTGGCTCGAAATCTACGAAAGATAAGCTTTCATTTAGTATAAAATTTGCCTATAGAACAATAGATGTGACTTAAAAGAGTTCAGAACTATAGTACGATGAGTTTCGTATTCTTGACGTAAATATAATTAGAGCAAAATGATTCCAGTAAATTTGATATCTAGCAAACCCTTTTGTTTCGTTATATTTTTGGGAAAACGATATTTCCTAAAAATGATTTTATTATTATTATTAATTAGTTAATCTATATATTATTTTGTTTTCTTGTAGATATTTATAAGACTTAGTCACAGTTTTAACACTTGATCAGAGTTTTGAAAATACTTGTCTAAATCTTCATTTTGATAACATTATCCACAAGGGATAAAAACCATTTTATTCTAGCATTATGGCCAGTAAAGAATCTAAAAGTCTAGGACAATCATTAATAAAATCAACGAATAAAATAGATAATCATTTGATTCCAAATGTACGGAAATTTCGCATACCTAAAATAGCAAGGTAGGTGGCTCGAAAAAAATATTTGAAGGTATGCAATATAATCAATCAATCAAAAATCTTTATGTAGTTTCACTCATTTTTTAATGCCATTTATCAATATCTGCTTCTAATATCTGATTAAATAATTTTTAGAGTTTAAAAAATAAGATACTACATAACAATGTCTGATAGGATTTGATTAGGCAATTTTTTTACTGTGATTTTCTTAAATAGGATTATCTCATTACAAAAGAGCATTATCGAAAAAAAGCATATCTGTTGCATGCAAAATAAGAACAATTAGTTACTTTATCGAACTATTTGACTTTTGTATCATATGTCTATATGAGTTAATTATTTTATTTTAGGCCAACTAATGATTTTCAATTGCCAGATCAAAATAAATTAGCTGAAAATCACAATAAGATGGAAACAGATGAGATTGTTTCTGTAAAAGTATCAAATGTCACAGCGAATTCTTTGATAACCAATCAACTAAAGGATAGATTTAATTTTCAACAACGCAAAAGAAAATTTTCCGATACTGAATACCAAAAATGTAAACAATTGAAATTGAATAATAGTATAGACAGTTCTTCAGCTGATATCGACATGCGAATAAATGGGATGGAAGATTTTAAGGTAAGAATAATAACAACTATATATATATATACAGATTAGAAAATATACTATAACTATTTCAAATATTTATTCGTGCTAGAATTTCCGACCAGCATCTGCGGATAAGGACTCTACAATCCGATTGGAGAATCAATCGATAGATATACAGAATATCATTTCAGGTATGATATTATTTATTAATCTTGAAATCGATTTCTATTATTTTGTTCATTTCTAGATAAGATGATTAAGAGCAATCTGAGTGAGCCAGGAGTGAGAAAATTAATAAAAAAGAGACTCATTTGGGCAGATGAAAATAATCAAGTTCTCGAGCAGATATCATTTTTTGAAACGGACAATGCAGAATTAGCAGAGATGCACGGATCCAGACATTCATGCACAACAGATTTATCTATAGTACAAACTAAAAAATTATTCGAACATGATCTTCACCAGAGACAAAGTTTACCTCCATTACCAACTTTAATACGTATATTACTACCTGATACAATAAGAATACCAGCGGCCAGATCACAGGAATCTCTTCTACAAGAAAAATGTGAAAAAAATGCTTTGTCGGCACTTTCGATACCTGCATTTTTACTTGATAGGCCAAGCGAACCAAATGGTGATCTTCTTGGATATAGTACTATGGAACGCAAAGAACCAAAATTAATACCGCTTGATAATGTAAGCATAAAAATATTTCAAAGTCACTTTGTAAGCGAGAATGAAAATCAATGTTGAGAATATCTTTTAATGCTGAAAGTATTTAGATGTGTATGCCACTGATCGTTATATGATCAGAGATCATTGTATAGACGTAGCTAGGATCTAAAATTGTGTTATCTTGACAAATAGACGTGGTTCGGTTCCATGATATTTGCCTAGAATCCTTAAACGCTTGTAACAGTTTAATTATCCCTTTGTCTGGCGAATTTTTGAATACAATAATCGTTGTTGACATCAAAATGATAGAGTTTTCGCAAAAGCTCATAATTAAATTGTTTCAACTTCTATAATTGACACTTAGAATTCATTTTCAGCGAAACAGAGTGAAACATCTAGGGAATTATCTAGTTTCTCATTTGATAAAAATTAAATAGAATTATATTTGTGAATTCAAAGAACTGAAATGACTTCTTTATGTACGACATTCTTCTTCTATAACAGTATTAGGCGAATATTGTAAATTTCTTTGACAAATAGAGTTTTTCTTATGAACTTACCATCTGATAGAAAGAGCTTTTCTGCAACTATAACTAGAAAACTAGAAGAGAAATTTTCTTTTTTTGTACATTTCATAGTATTTATATGTATATCTTTTAGGATGCTTCATTGTTTGTACCCAACGAACTACCATCTGTAAAATATGATAATGATGATTCATTTTCAACAAATTTATCTCTAGCTTCAACTACCACAACATTCCCAATTCCATCCATCCATTCATCATTATCGTGCGATAATATATCACCTGAAGTTGGTCGAATTCTTGCTCGCGCAAAAGAAAATTTACCGTCTGCACCTTCAAATAGTTCTTTATCAATACTACAGAACGAACCTAAAACAGCGAATAGTAAGATAACAATGTTTTTTTTTATTATCTTTTTCGAAGAGTTAAATAATTATTTCTGTTTTTAGTCCTACCGACAGATACAATAGCTAATCTTGCGTTGAATTTCGATTTAGCGATGGCTACAAGTTGGTATTTTAATCAGTTATTAATTAATTTTCATGCTTTTGGTGAAAAACCAACAGCTTTTAGTGAGTATCTACCGTTTTACGAATCAACTTATCAAGTTTTTTAAATTTTTTCCAGATAATACAAACTTTCAACCATCATTACCTACATACACACATTACCATCAACATCCATGACAACAGCACTAAACTTTAAACATAATTCATCTCCTAATCAACAATCGTCAATGTTTACTAATAAAGAGGCATATCAAAATAATTATTCTAGTCAGACTAGTAGAGAATATCGTTGTCGACGAAAATCACGTAATAATAATGATCATCGTAATGGTTATCAAAATCGCAATAACAATGCTAATATGGCAAACCGTTTCGCTTTTAACTAAACATATCCTATGATATAATTCTAGATTAGCTAGATGCTGTTTGTGCGCATAGAAACTTAACGAATATAATTTTATTTATTTCTTATTTTTATTAATTTCTTTTGTCTGTAAAATTTTTTCACACTTTTTTTTCGGATCATTTCAACAAATATAAAAAGATTTTGAGCGAAATCGAATATACTTATTGTGTTTCTTTGTTTTGTTGTAGATATTTATTATTATTATTGAAATACAAACAATTATGACACGGTAAGTAATTTTTATAAAACAATTCCTCTTATTCTATTTATTATTTAATTAGTTATATGCAAACGTTGGCATGTCGATTTCATCCTGATGCTCCACTTATCGAAGATTACAGAGCAGGTGATATGATCTGTCCAATGTGCGGTCTTGTCGTAGGCGAACGGTAAGATCATTTAATGCAACAAAAAAACTGAAGTTTCAGTGAATTTTTTTCTTGATGAAACCTTACAAACGTAGAACATTGATGAGAATAGAGGGGGAAAAGCATAAGACGACTTGAAACTAAAGATCTTCCTTTTTGCAAGAAATATCAAATAAAAATTCGATATTTCTCAATGATATATTGAGCATTTGTTTTAATTGTTCTTAACGAAGCTAACGTTTCTGTCTAAAACCTTCTGAATTTTTCAAGCATTTCTGTACTAATGCATAGATGATGGACCGGGTAACATTAAATTCCACCTTTGAGACATTTACTAGAATTTGACAGATCAGATGCTAGGATTTCATATTTTTCACTTGTATTTTCCAATACGATATTAATATTAGTTTTCGAATACTCTGATTTATTTCATTAAAGTTTTTCATACTTTTAGAATGGTCGATGTCAGTGAACGCTGGCCTACGTCTCAAGATAGTGCAGACGCAAAAGATAGGAGTCGTGTTGGTGCTGCTGAAAATCTATTGTACGGTTCTACAGATCTTGCAACTACGACCACGACAGCAAATACTAAAGGATCACTAAAAGATTCTGGGAGACAAATAGGTAGCAGAATGATTAGTCAAGTAATATTTATTTTCTAAGAAAAGAGAGAAAATTCTTATTGATTGACTACTTAGATATCACCTGCAGATAAAACACTACGAGACACTCACCGTAAGATTCAATCTGCAGCTGCAGCCATGGGTTTAACAAAAAGAGTTATTGACCAAGCATTTATAACATTTAAACAGTGCTTCGAAAACAAATGTTTACGTGGTCGCCCAGAAAATGTGATCATTAGCTCATGCATTTATACAGCCTGTCGACAACAAGGTTCACCTCGAACAGTTAAAGGTTACTAATAAATATTTATTTAATATTACAAATAGAATATAGTTTTTTTCTTATTCAATAGAAATCGCTGAGCACTCAAAAGTAACGTCGAAAGAAATCGGTCGATGCTATTTAAAAATCAAAGGATCCTTAGCAAATTCATCTTCAGTTCAACAGATTGATATAAAGGATTTGGTGGTATGTTTAGTTTTCGTTGAATGATTGGCTTTCTTTTTAAATCCTTCTGTTTTTTTCTTAAAGCCTCGCTTTTGCAATGAGCTTGCACTTGAACAAAAAATACTTATACGGAAAGCAGTTACTCATATTGTCCAACGTGCTACTGAAATTTGTAATATTCAAGGTCGATCACCAACTTCTATTGTTAGCGGGGCGATTTATTTGGCCTGTTCCGCTGCAAATGAAAACATAACAAAAAAAGGTTAGAGTGAATATTCTTGTTATAAATAGCTAGAATCTATTACCTTTTATGCTTTTAGATATTGAAAAAGCCACTGGTGCTTCACCAAGTACCATCGGAATCATATATAAACTTATGTTACCGAATGCTGCGAAATTATTTCCTCATGACTTTGTATTTAAACGTCCAGTCGCTGAATTACCAAGGGTTTAAAAATGCCTGACTGCTTTTTTCTCATTTTAGTCATAGTTTATTTGTTTTTTAAATTTCTAAATGTTTTATTGTCGATGAATACTCGAGAATAAATATAGTTGTATTAGACTTCTAGATATCAATTTTTGATTAATGATTGACATGAAGGGTGTGGGTGTGGATGTGTCAGCACATATCCACACACACCAATCAACTCTGAACAACATTTTTTTAGATGATGAGTCAAGAAGGGAAAAAGTGATTATGTCTTGAGTAAATCTCATTTTGAAATTTGATGACCTGATCGGAATTGTTTCCTTCCGATCGAACAAAGCATTCTTTAATCAACACAATCGATTATAACCTGAACTCAGACTAGATAGTGAATTAGGACTGGAAATACTAGAATATCGTGACAACTTTCCTTGTGTGTTATGCATATACCATTAGACACACAACTACATCATCGAACAATCCTCGTAGCGTCTCCACTTCGACCAGTCCCTTTGCCTACATAGGTGATGCAGACAGTTTCGCAGAAGTAGAAGAAATTCTTTTTACAATGAATACAGTTTTTAACGTAGGCGAAATCAAAAAGATTGACAATGTTGATCGTCAGTGGGAAGTACATTTAATCATGATCGATGGCAAAGATCCGCAGTTGGCTGCCCTTACTCGCCATATAAAAGAACAGATTAAAGGGACTGCGATTGGGTGAATACATGAAAGCTGAACAGATTTATATTAAATTGCTTGAGCAGGCTTCCAGCGACTATGAAAAAGCAAATCTTTTCAGCAGCCTAGGATTAGCCACAAGAAGGTCAAGGACAATACAAAGAAGCAGTTTTGTCACACGAAAAAGCACTTTGGATATGTGGACAAATTCTATCACATCCAGAATTAGCACGCGTTTATAACAATATTGGGACGGCGTATCATAAATTGGGTAACTATTCGAAAGCACTTCAATGTTGTGAAAAAGCACAAAACATTTATGCAAACGCTCTGTCTCCGAATCATCAGTCATTGGCTGCTAGTCACCTAAGTTTTGCTGAGTTGTACCAAAGAATAGATGATTACTTGTCAGAACAACATCCATATCATGCCGTTACTTAGTGCAATATTGGTGATACTCATCGATTAATGGGTGATTATGAAAAGGCACTTTGTTTTCTTCAAAAAGCGTTAAGTATTCAAGAGAATGTAAAATATATTCCTCTTGGTTGTGCCACAACATATGCAAATTTAGGTGAAACATATAGCGACATGAAAGATTATTCAATGGCACTGATATATTTTCAAAAAGGACTGAAAATTCGAGAAGAAAAACTACCAAACAACCAGCCTGATTTAGCTATAATCTATCATAATATAGGAAAATATGATATGGCACTGAAATATGTGGAGAAAGTGGTCGATATTGGACAAGAAAGATTACCTCCAGGTCATCCTCATCTAATTGAGTATAAAGAAACGCTTGAAAAATGTCTCCTTTCTCATCTTTGTGCACTATATATTGCTGTGATCATTTTTCATAATCTTACGTATGAACGTGCCCAAGAAGACTAAGTTGGCGACATGGTTTTAGACACTATTTTTCTTTCATTAACAGGTACATTGAAATATATTTGTGAATTTTTTAAAAACCAAATACACGCTGCAAAGTCAGACGAATTTACCGCGAAATTTTTTAATAAAATATGAACAGTTTTTATTATCAAGAAGTAGCAGCTCTTGGAAATAAAATTTCCCTTAGCGTAAAGTAATTTCTAAGAGTCATTATGCTTTTTGTGAAAAAAACCCGTGACATTATAATGGTTGCTCATTTTTAATATAGATATATCAGGAAAATTTTATTTTTTGTCAAGGTTCTCATGAATCTAAAGATCGAACTAATGACTTACTAGACAATCAAGATGAGAATAGCGCGCATTTAGAAATCATCGTGACCGATTCTTCTAATTTTTATTCAATCAACTAACACATTCAAACAGATTAGCTGCATTTGATCAAGATACAAACAAAAAGGTATATTTACAGGACAATAAAAAGTGATATCTGATCAATATAATAGATGCCAGAAATACTACAAATAACAAGATTAGTTGTAGGATAATTTTATTTTTCCATATGAAATCGAAAGTGAACTGAAATTACGCCATCAATAATTCATTGCTTGTAACATCATTTATTATAAATGTTTCGATTCAGAATTTTTTATTGTTGTTCAAAGAGTCAAATTAAGAGCAGTATTATCCTCTGCAAACATACTGTGTGCTTTTATACTTTAATTTGTTCATCAGTTTTTTTTCGAAGTCTTTCTCTAAAGAAAATCAAAATAATACTCAATATTAGAACCACGATACTCCTTGTTCTCGTTATTTTAATATTTGTTATTCATGTATAAATAAGTACACCCTCGTGCTATCTTGCAGTAATTTTTTATAGAGATGGCAACATCTGAGTGAGCAAATACGATGCAAATTTCTCATTTAATTTGAAAATATTGTAGAAATCTATAAAATAGAACGAACTCGTATCTGTAAAAACGTTAATAATCATCATACTTTCATTTTGTTTTTGTATGCTAAATTAATAATGACAACAGTTAAATGAGTTGTAAAGTTTCCTTGCATATCTATGTATCGTTCATTCACTTTCGCGGTACTGATCACTAGCTGCTTTTTACAAATTATTGTACAGAAAGCAGACGGAGTTTCTCTTATTTTTCCACACTAGTCGTTTTTTCATCTACTCAATTGTGTTTATTGAGTGTACCTATTAAATTTCAAGTTATAAACAAGTCACTGAATACATATCGCGTATTTGAGTGTAGACCTATTCAGTTGATTCGGTCACTGGATATAAAATCATGCCTAGGCTCGATTTACCAATTTAAAGAAAGAAAGAAAATACAAATTCTGCTGTAATGATGAGAAGTCAAACGTACACAGGGCACTAATTTTATAACTAATAAATATGTATGTATGTATGTATTCGTAAGTTCAATCTTCGTAGCTGTTCTTTTTATCTTTAGAAATTTCTATTTCCGGTGAATTACCAAACAGCTAATATATAATAATTGAATAGCTTTTAACAAAAAAGAAAGCAAATTTCCTTTCCTATCAATTATATTTATAGTCTTTATTAAAAGAAAGAAAATTAGATTGACTCATATTATTTTCTTTTCCTAACATGGAAAATGTTTATGTTTAGTATTTATTGAAATTTTATATATTTTCTTTTTTTGCTTTTGCTTCTATTTACATTAATTGAACAAAGACAAAGTAAGAGAAACATATTGCTACACGAAAACAAGAGAATATAAATAATTACAAAAGTTCTGATCCTGAACTTCGTCGTTGTCGTGAAAAGAAAATTCTCCATGATGCCATTGTTTTACCATTTAAAACCCAACCCGATGATATTATACCGATAGCTAACATACATGTATATTTAATCATAAATAATTCATAACGTGGTCGAAATTTTCTATTTTCATTTAATTGACAATGCATAGGATTCGAACAAAAGTCTTCTTCATGTTTCCATGTTTTTAACCAATAGAAATAATTATGTTGTTCATAAAATAAACATATTATTAATATCAATTGTGGTACGATATAAACTACACTAAATAATCCAATGCGTACCATGAAACGTTCAAGTTTATCTGTTTTTGTTCCTTCATGTTTCATAACTGTTCGAATTTTAAATACAGATATAAAACCGCCTAGAAGAAAACATAAGCCAACAAATAATAAAGTACATATTGGTACAATAATAAAGCCAAGTTGAACATTGGGCTCTGTTAAACCAGTATAACAAACACCTGTTAAATAATCACCCTCAATTGAATGTTTACTTATTAATATGACACTTAAACAAGCTGGAATACCCCATGATGCAAGATGAAAGTAAGCCGATTGGGATTCAATGGCTTCATGTCCCCATTTCAAGCCAGCCGCTAGAAACCATGTTAACGTTAATATAACCCACCATATCATTGATGCCATACCAAAATAATAAATCAGTAAAAATGTTAATACACATATTCGATTGTGTGTACCTTGTACAAGAAATCTTGTGTCTTTTGATAGTGAAAAATTTTCTGGATTACAAACTATATTCGAACCGAAATAGTAATCAACAAAACCACCAACATATGCACATGCAAGAGCAAAATAGCAGATAGATAAAAATAATATTGGTCGTTCTGGATAACGATAGCGTGATAAATCAATTGAATAAGTCATTATTGTAAATAATGTTGATAATAGACATAGAATTGATAATACACCAACATACTGACGAATATAATTCACTTGTGTAGTTGCAAATAAACTACGATTACATGGCATAGCACAATTTGGTTTATAATCAAATTTATAATTAAAATCATTGATTATTGTACGATACTGGTCTGAACATGAATCATCTAAATCCTCAATACCTTTTGATAATAATACTTCTGAATTATGATTTTTTGTGGGTGTACTAACACATGGCTCGTTAGTAGGAAATTCATCGCAACGAAATTGTAGCGGCCATGAATAGCCAAATCGTTTCAATTCAGATTCGCAACCATCGCGAGATTCTTCACATAATGCTCGACATGGTTTAAGAGCACTTACTAAAAATAGAAAAAAAGCAAACATTCTCAATAGAATTCAAATAAACACAAAAATCAATTCCTCTAGGCTACATAATGAACAAGAAATACTAGTTGAGTTCAATAGTTTTTTGCCTAAGCGATATTAATGAAGAGTACATTTTTCTTCAACTAGTTTTTGGAAATATAATATCACATAGAAGAGACTTAATCTTATAGGAAAAGGGTCTTTTTATTGTTGTCTACTACAAAAGCTATGCCATCTAATCTAATTATCATAAAAGTTATTAACAATAATAAAATCTTACATTTTGGTACTGTAGTACATACTGGTGTATAAAGACTACATAGAAAATATTGTATAAATTTTGAACATTTAATTTTAACTAATGGAAGAAAATATGACAAATGATTATCAGCGTCTATGAAAAATTGAAAACAAACAGAAAAATAGTAAGTTTTATAATTTTTTACAAGTAAGATTTTACCCTCTGGTAGTATGTGTTCAAGATGATTAGGATAAATCGTCATATTCCATGGCATTGATGCACATAAACGTGTAGGAGCAATCTCTACACATCGATCAGTTGTATAATTACCTGATGATCCAACACGAGGTAGATTGGAAAAAAAATCATGCTGCTGACTATTAACAAATGTAATTAATAAGAAAAAGATATTAACTTTCATCGTCATATATTCTAAAAATCGACAAAAAAACAAGGAACAAAATACATTGTTATATTGTATACAAAATTTGATTATTATTATTGTTGTTATAAATGCGAGATACCCACTTTTTGCTTTCTCTCTAAAAACATCTAACTCAGACAGGACAGAAGGGCAAACTAAAATCAGCCCGTCAGTATAGCTCGTGTGTCCTGTCTATTTTTTCTCTCTATCGCGTGCGTCGAACAGTTATGCATATATATACATATATATGTATGCATGTGTCCAAATCAAGCGTATACTGGCAAAGGGCAGATGATTATGATGGTGGTGGTAGTAGTCTATCGATTGGACAGATGATGTCGATATACTATGAGAGAAAAGAACGAAGAACGAAAGGAATACGATGATGAGAAAAAGAAAATAGAAGATAAATGGATTTTTGAATGACGAAAGGTCACATACATTAGAAAAGTTATTCATATTAATGGATTAATAAACAACATAATGGCCAATATATTTTTCATACTTGCCAATTACAGTATGATGAACGAATTGAATTATCCTTTTGAGTTCTAACGATAACTAGACAGATAAGTATCAAGCAACTGTATCAATAAAACAAAATAGGAACATAGAAATTCTAACAAAATAATTAAAATAAAAAAGTCAGTGTTCATATTTGTATACAGGTTAAAATCAAACAATAGTATTTGTTGAGTTTCATAGTTTCTGCATCTTTATACGATGAAATTTGATATGGAGGCAAAAAGACAAAATCATGTGTATGCTAGTGCAATGCAATACTATCTGAGTGCAATCTATGATATATAGCATATCAGTAATGATAATTTTTTTTTCGCTTCATGAGACTAGGGCGGTACTTGACCCTTTTCATTCTTGATTAAGCCAATAATTCAAGTGTGTATGAAATCTCACATTATACACAAAATTCGATAGACAACTGTATGTTACCAAAATAACACTGACAGCAAAATAAAATAGTAAGTTTTTATTGAAGTATAATCTAAGCTAAATTTTAATCAAAATGGAGATTTCGATGTGAGAACAGAAATTTTCATCGTGTTTTTTCATCAGTCAACACGTTTGCAACAATATATTGTTGATATCGTACCCCGCTGATAATCTCATCCATAAGACATGTCATATAGAAAATAAACAAAATTGTCAACGATCTGTGAAAATTATCATTCGATGTTTATTCAAGTACGTTCTTTTTATCTACTTGAACTTTCTAAGATAAAATGATATCTATGCATCAAAAATATAGAGACAACATATTTATGACAACATATTCTTATATTTATTTGATTATAGGTGAAGAGGTATTCAACATAAAAAGTCGACACTTCTGTGAATCATTATTGAACGATTAAACGAAAAAGTTCAAGAAATTTTTCTTTGTTGATATTTGTAATTATTTCAACATTAGGATTACGTTTGAAATGATCATACCAATCGGATATCATGTGTCCGGTAGCGAATTTGCCGTAGGGTTCAACACAAGCATAAACCTGTCTTTTCTCTTCTATCACTGATTCATCTAATACACATGCCATACAAACGGCATCACACGAATTAAAGGCAGAAGAAAGTTCAGGATGTTTTTGTGCTGCTTTCAGAAAATCAATTAAATATTGAGTAACTTCAGCAAATAAACGAGCCTTTGAATTATTCGAATCTCTTGCTAATGGTAATATTTCGTTATCGAACGTTTCGAATGGAATTGCTACCATGCATGTTAATTCGAAGGTGACAATTCTTATTGTTGTTTGAAATTCTTCGAGAACTCTTGAAGCTGCTAGTGCATCACAAGCAAAATTAAATTCAATACCAACTGAAAAATAAGAAATTTCAAATGTTTTTTTTTGTTCTAAGTTTCTATTTACTTGAAAGAGTATTAAATCGTGATACTGTACAATCACCACCCATAATATAAAGACATTTTAAATTACGACTAAATTCTGGATCAAGACGATGCGCCAGAAATATATTTGTTAAAGGTCCTATCGCTGCTATAACCAGTTCACCACGATTCTCTCTTGCTAAACGTACAAGAGCAACGGGAGCTGGTTCATCACACAGTAAATCTAGATCGATTTGTTTATCTTTAGTTGCATTACCAAAACCATCTTCACCATGAATGTGTGGAGCATACTTTTGATTGCCATCAAGTGCTCGATCGGCTCCACGAAAAACAGGAACATCTTTTCGATTGAGTGCATACAAGAGATAATGAATATTACGAACTCCATTAACCAAAGATGTATTTCCAGCGACAATAGTGATACCGAGTAGTTGAACGTTTGGATATGACAGAGCCATTGTGATTGCATGACAATCGTCAATACCTGGATCAGTATCGATAATTAATTTTAAGGGAGTTTTCAATGATGAAACCATGACGATTCAGAAAACTTTAATAGAAAAAGATGAAATTCCAGAATGATTTGACTAATCTAATGAGCTGTGAAGTTTATTTTCTTGAATAAGATAATACACGATTGCACTAGAATTTAAGGAAAAAATGTTTCACTGAAATGAAACGTAATCTTTTAATACAAGTTCTTCATAGTAATAGAAAAAAATTTCAATTTTCGGATTGTAAACGTAAACTATTTATTGCTATACTTTGGATGAAAACAAAATACAGGTTTCTATCAAAGTCTTAAAAGCGTTGAGTTCAAACATTGGTTGAGCTAGGTCTTCTTTGTTCACGGTTTGTAGCGTCCCTATAATCTTCTCTAGAGATCTGTGCATTTTGACCTAGTTTGTTGGATGCTATTGCTATGATACCCTTCTATTGTTTCCTATTGACTGTGTCTCAGAGATTCTCATCGCAACCATCATATACAGTACACATTTTTACTGATAGTCATTTTATTTTAATCAGATTCATCATGACTCAAGTTGAAATTCAGTCTGCATTTCTAAGAATTCACGATCACGTTTATCGTAAATCTATTTCAATATGATGTATAGTTCAAATTAATTAATAAAATATTGACATTTCGTTTCAAAAAGAGAAAGATTACCTTAGACAATATTATTGTGAAAGGAGAAAGAAAAATCACTTTTATTCTTTTGAAAATATGGCTTCTCATCTATGGACATTCAATCATGAAAAGAAATGACAACCCTTTCAAAAGTGTAAAGAAAGAAAAACGAAATATGATCCAACTGCTAACTCAGCAACCAATCAAGCTACTGCATTATTTATCTATTAATCGACTTTCTTTTAAGTTTTATTTTGATGATAAAAAAATAACAAAAGTAAGATTGAAAGTTCATTCAAACGTACGTATATAGTTCAAAAGAGAGATTCGTAGATAAGAATATTGCACCGATTAAAGCACAGATCATTTCTACTCAAGTCATGGACGACACCTTAGTCACTACATTCAGCGGTGTCGCCACCAGCATTCTTTTTTTTTGTAGTTTTCTTCTTATTGAAGAATCTTTTTAACTCATGCAGTGAACCAATTTGATACTATTTGCTGCACCTTCTAAAACGTTGAAAACAAAATCTCCAGAATAAAAAGTCTAAAAAATACTCGCGTGTGAGTAAATCGAGTTATGTTTGGTGTTAAAAGTCACGATTTCTCTCTAGACTCCAGTTAGATTTTGTTTCGTGTGTTATATTTTCGTTTTCGTAATGTTTAGTTGATAGACCGGAGGGTATGCAAGAAAATATGAACTGTCTTTATTTATCTAAAGATAGAGCGGCAACACTATAATTCTTTACAGACAGATACCATCAATAGACGACTGTCGTATTTCACAATTGAAAGGTACACATAATATCTGAAGATAAACGCTGGCCTCGACAGAGTTCTCAACGATGAAAGCTTGAAACATTAATAAACTGGCATACACTAGAGTACCAGTAATCTTGATTTCAAAACAGACTCGTTTACAGTCTGTTTATCGGTGGTAAACGATGTCAAAACGGTATATTTCCGACAGTATATAGGCCGTATTTGCCCGTAATACCCGGCGCAGTAATACGGCACCGTAAACAGGACTGAATTTTCATGGTTTACGGCTGTTTGTGCTCCGTACTTTCATGATCATACGGTTCGTATTACTGCGCCAGATATTACGGCAAACGTTCACCCGGAAAACAGTCGTAAAGTAACCATAAACGGCCGTATACGAACCGTACTGCTCGACCTGGGTAGCTACATACTCAAAATAAAACGAAATATTATTCATATTTAACACTTCATTTTAAGTGAATTAAGTGTTAACGCGAAAAACTTAATACTTAATATTAACAATTGTTTCGTTAACACTTAATATTAAATTAACGTTAAGTGCCACCTCTAGTTCCCTGTCGATGGAGACATGAACTTTTCTCTATCACTAATCATCCTGTCGCAACGCTAAGATCCTGATCACCGAATCTCGATGAAAACTAAACACTCGTATCAAATAGAATCCGAAAATCGGTGCAACAATGTATAAGTACTCCTGAAAGAAAGAGTAAGAAACCACGTGTCTCCTTCTTCAACAACATAATACGCACCTCCACGCGTGGGCACTCTGCGCCGGGAACATCCTTGTCTACACACACATGCTACACCCTATGTTGTAGGTGCTGTGAAAGACCAGCACGCTTGTCTAAAGGCACACTCTAAGTTCTCAGATGTGAATGCCGCGCAGCAAGAATACACTTCTCTGCATACTTTGACTTGCAGAACATTGGCCCTGCTTATTTCTGAAGTGCTAATACTAATACTCCTAAATATAGGTGTTTAGTTGCCTCCACCCAGTACACAGAAATGAATATGATTTGAGTTATAAAACTTGTCAAAGGTTTCCGTAATATGTCGTTTGTGCATAACCCCGGACCGAACCCAACCATTGGATTTAGTGAGTTTGTCTCTGATTCATCGGAGTTATATTGGAAGTCCACTGTGGAGTTGTTTGGCGAATGTGATTGTTTGTTGTTCCTTAGTCTCAGTAATTAATTGCATACAAAGAACATGTGTTATGATACAACCGTGGTATCTCATTACCATTTTCGTAATAGATTGTCTACCTATCTTGCATTACTATACCTTTTTCAATAGGGATCGCCCCTCTTAAGGCAGCAACACTAATTTCGTTGGTCATCGTAGTGCTATAACACTTTCTACGTACTCCTTCGTTATCGTTGTCATTTCTTTGTATATTTTTATACTTATATTTATTCTGCGGCTAGCACTAGTTCGAAATTTTCGTACCCGTTGATTCTTATTTCATATATGAACGTTTTTCTCATCATCTTTTTGTTGCTATGGATGTTCTAGATGTGCATGCTAACTTTTACGGCTAGATAATCGCCAAGCTAATGTACAATTGTGTGTACCGAAAAGAGTAATACTTCTTTTGGTTATTTCTTTTCTCAAAATAGACTTTTTCTTTGCTACAAAAAGCAGGATATGATGAACTAAGATAGCTAAGTCAAGTTGTACATCGACTATTCTTTAACCTTATTTGGATAAACTTCTTCTGAAATATGTATCGGTACCAGCTGCATTATCTTCATTTGTGGGAAAATTTCCCAGAGCAGATTTTTAATGCACCATCGCTCCGTGTTAACATCAAAAAACGTATGTTTACTGAGATTTCTTAAATGTAATAAAGTTTTGTTGTTGCTTAATTTTTAGGCTCGAAAACAAGAAAGCTAGAAAAGACCTTCTGATTCATGAGTCAGACATGTACCGAACTATTACTGGTATTGGAGATTCGGTAACAATACTCGTAATGGCTGATCGACATTCGTAATCAATGAGTCCATTCTATGCCCGCAACGATTTCCTCTCCTTTGCTAGTTCTTCATATTTTTCTTTCCTCCTCAGCCAGTCTCGCTGTAAATACAAATTTGTCTTTCGGACACAGGCAGGGCATTCTATGATATAAAATACTAAATAAAGCGTTATACCTACGCCGCAGTTCCGAAAATCAGTCGTAGGATCTTTTAGCACTAGATGTCATCACACAAAACATCATCGTCACAGCAATCTCAGATTAATTGTTAGACTGAGATTCATCGAAACATCTCAATATTCCATATGATTCCCTACACTCTTCCAGTCATATCCTACGGGACAGTAGGATTTTCAGTAGTCTGACCGTCGGACTCGGCACAAAAGCTCAGAGACCACGACTTTTGTGTGATTTTATCTGCATCATACCACTATAATACTAGATCATATGTAGCATCATATCAGATGTTAGCGTTCGATTGTTAGCCCTAAATAAACGCAAGCACAATTCAATCTAAAATTGTCAGAATCTGCAGCCCATTCACATAGCTTCCCATGCTCATTGCGACGGGATTTTACTAACTTCTGACGAACATCCTTCCGTTGAAATCTCACGTCGAAAGGAATCAATCACATCCAGATCTTAATCTACCGTACTCGTTTCATTAAATTGAACACGGACACTAGCTCCATTATTCCCATTCAGTCGCGTTCCTAAGAAAATATGGTAAAAGCAGTTTTCTAGAAATCCATAGACACATGTAATCTAGATTAAGCCCCCACTCTCAAAAAAACATACCCTTTGGGGGACTTATACATATATGAATTGAGAATTGAACTGAATTCTTCTTGTTTTCGGAGTATCAAGAGTTCGGCTGGCTGTTTTAGCTGTGGGTTTTGCATGAGAGGTACTGTAGCTGAATAGATTATTGTGAAATTGTGGTGAAGAAATTGCATTCGTTGTCGTGTGCCCGAATCGTTGGTAGCTGCTCTCGGGTCCCATAGACCCTCTGTGTTGCGGAAAGGGGAGAATTTTTTTTCTTTTTTGAATTCCGTTTGAAATGGAATACCCCATAGACTCGAAATAAAATATTCAACATCTGACACACTTTCATTGAAAAGAACGCCTTTTTTAATATTTTTTTCACTAAACAGATGTGAGTTCAATACTTCCAGTTTTCTTCGTCGAAATTACATATTGTTGATGTTTCATGTTCTTTTCGAAAAGAAACATTTTGCCCACTACTTTCTTTCAAAAGAAAAAAAAATGAAAGTTCCATCTCAATTCGCACATACTGAAACTCAATCAGTAATGATGTCTTTAGTCAGTCTTAACTTTTCAAATTCTGAAGGATATTTGATTTGTTTTATGTAACGGCAGCAAAGTTCTGAGGAGTAAGATTGTATTGTATCCTATAGTCTACTATACAACGATTATCGCGTCTTTGACCTTTTTTTACCCTATAAACTTTCTTGGTGGTATGTAGTGTAGATGCTAAGACAAAACAATCAACCACACTCTCAATGTTGAGAGCTACAATGTAAAATATTGAACACGAACTAAAAGTTATTAATATACCAATATTTGAAAACAGCAGCGTGATGAATTAGGTTTTGTTATGTGTTTCGATAAAAGAAGGGCTTGGAGGG